GTGATCTCTGCAGAGAGAGACAAACCGCTTCACGCTTAAGTCATTTTAAGAGCAGAAGGCCCGAACCATTGGAGGAGATGAATGAATTGAAGTGTTGGTTTATTAAGATCATGGTCAGGTGACGGGGTGGAGGAAGGGGAATAGAACACAGTAGCAGGATGTGACTTGTGCCATACTATGTGAGAGGCTCAGTTGTATGAGATGCCTCCGTCTGTCTTTACGCGTTTGTGCGTTTTGGTGTACATGGGTTGAGGAATCCACCAGCGAATGAGAAAGCACTGTGCAGGGTGCGGCCTTATTGCTTACTAAGGGCAGGCCCTTTTGTTTCATACTGTTAATGTATACCGTATGACTAAATGTAGACATCACTGAATGAGGAATGTACAGCAATGAACACTGCGAAGGGAATATTAACTTGCACTAAGAAAAAAAAACAAAAAGAAACAAAAAAAACACACATACACACAAAAAACTTTTAAATACTTGATTCCATGAGTCAGTTTTATCATAGGTCTCTGTCATGTAATTTGTGTGAACTTTGAGAGGTTTTGTATTTATTACTGAGTGAATGAATTTTATTCTCAAAATGATGAGATTGAGTTGAAGAAGGCTAGAGTGCTATTGTTTTTAAAGATTGAGGAAGACATGCTGTTACTTTTTGTATAAATGTACATAAAGAAAACTATAGGAATAACCGACCAAATACTACCTTAACCTTCTCGATGTTTGGGTGTTTTTCAAAAATGTTTCTGTTCCGTTTGTCATTGAAATTTATTTAAGATGGACGTTATTTCAGTTTGAGAGTATATATTATGATTATTCTGTACAGAATTTGTAATATAACCACAATAATTCACAAAGTATTTTTGTTGTATTAAAAGTAAGGTATTGTAGCGTAGTGTTTTGTGACTTACACATACTTTGACCACTCAAAGAATAAATATTTTTGTTGACTAACGTAACGAGTTATCGGTTACAGAATAAAGGAAAGGAAAAAGAAAAACCTTCAAATAGAAAGAGATCCGTGCGATCTGTTTGCTGTAATCAGGTTTGGTTTTAAAGAACTGTGAATTAGGTTTTCAAACCCAAAAAACTTTTTAACTTTTTAACATAAATAAGAACACCGACATGTATTTACCTGTATTTGTTTTTACATTGCTTTGAAAATAAGGTGCAACCGTCTAATGATGTTGTCGAGTTAGACAAAACCAGTGTGTGACCGAGAGAATTGTATGTTGAATCATTCTTTGGAACTGTAGGTTGTTCTGCTCCTTTGAACAGAAATGGCATTCTCCTTAATCAGAAATATTTCTTATACTGAAACTACACAAGTCACATGCTTCGAAGCGCAAGAGCTTCTGCGTGCACAATTTCAAGTCGACTGTAAAATTTTGGAGACAGTCTTAGAACTTGTAATGTATATGGCATGTATTTTTTTAACTTTCCGAAGACTCAATTGTATATATTTTTCTCAATGAATGGTTGTAACAAAATTCTTTCTTGGATATATTTCTTCTCTTGTATGATATTAAATCATCCTGCCAGTGTGTTTGTGCAACATTTTCTTGGTCGTGTAGTCAGATTATTTTTTTTCTTCCTTTTATCTTTTTTTTTTTCTCCTTTTTTTTTTTTTGAAAATGCCTTTTGAAGTGTACAGAGTATGAGGTTTGGAGTTTGTGGAATTGAATTTAGAAACATTTACAAAAATAAACTATTTTACATGTTAACATGTGTATGTCATTTATAGTTGTAGCATATTTTAGAAAGGTGTTTCACACTCAAACTTTTTAAGTGTAGGGTTTATAACCAATTTGAAATATTTCTGGTGACGCTGACAGGATCAGGGGCGTAACCGGAAATTCTCCCATGAAGATATCCCTGTGGGTACCACCACCACATCCCAAGCCAACCGCGCACATTTACTAAAACTAAGGCCCGACTGATATGGGAATTGGTGCAGATACCGATATTGATAAAAGGAAAATCTGATAGCGATAAATAAGCAGATATCTTTCTTTGATCTATAGTTGATCTTTAGATAAAGATGTACACATTTCTTGCGTTTATCCCTAAAATGCAGTTTTCACACTCTTGTGGAAAAGATGTACAGTATGTCGAAGACTATATGGTCACTCAACTGGAAAGTAAATGTGCATGTATGTGCATGACCACTTCACACTGGAGAGTGATAATGTTTGTGATCCATAGAGCGCCCTCTGCTGGTGAAAGAGAACTACTAGTGTAGTACAATAAAACTCAAATAAAATGGTTTTTAACTGCTAAATAAATGTGGTAATATTGGTGCATATCTGTGATAAAATTATATAATAGTCACTTGGTACGCTAATATCGGCCGATATTATCAGCTGGCTGATTAATTGGTCTATAACTTTGAGTTACAGGATGAATACTGGAGATAAGTTCAGCTACAAGAGAAAGCATGATATTTTCTTAGCTACATGTGAAGACATAGTTATGATACAAATGCCAAACATTTCTCACTTCATGGTCTGCGTGGTCTATTTATTTTCTTCTGTTCGTCCATAATGGCAAGTGCAAAGCAAAATGGGCAAATCATCCCAGCTCCGCACAGTAAGGCCCTCCCGGTGTTCAAACCCAGCACCAGCTGGTAAGCAGTGTGTAACAAAACACTAACATGCCAACTAGCGGGGTGTATTTACTTTCCAGGGCTTTGTTTTAGCTGAAAGTGCGGTTCATACTTCAGTGTCGTGGACCAACCAGTCAAGGCAAGAGAAACACAGGTTAAGTTTAAAAATCTGGCTTTTTTTATTCAGAAATGGTGTTAACCAAAAGCAAAACAGTAAATCATTCAAAATATATCAGTGGGGGTCAACACAACATAACTGGACTGTATAAATAGAGTTACCTGAACAGGATATAAACTCAACTAACTGGCCTAATAAAAATGAGAACTGAAGGTGGATATTTAAACCAGCTGACCAAACTAAAATAGCACACAGGGGAGCACTACACATGAAATAAGTAAAAGATAACACCCTGTAACACAAGTAAAGGCCTTGGCTGAGAAACAAGCTTGCCACGAGGTAGCAGTGCTTACCATTCCAGCACACTAACTTGCTTACTTTAAGGTTTATTTATTTTTCAGAACATAATTGGTTGTTCATACTCTGGTTGTCAGAAGCCAACACATTGTATCTCCACAGGAACGCACCAGTCGGGACTCAAACCTTGGCTTCTCGTTTAAGGCCAAAATACTATTGCTAAATGCTAATGTCCAACCTTGCAGACCAACCTTGGTTGTTCAAGTTTATGTACGTGCAGTATATATTGTTAACTTAAAAGTGAGGTTGAGATTTAACAGTATTCAAGCTCTACAAGGAAAGTCCCCAGGCTGGATTCTAACCCAGAACCAAATAGTTGTGAGGTGGCGGTACTACCCACCACACAAACATGCTGCCTCGCTGTGCTTACCTGTCTAGAAATGTATTTTCCTTTCAATTATTACTTTTTGAAGAGACAGTCACAGCTGTGGAATTAGGGGAAATAATGGGCTACAGTAAAGCACAATATTCGTACGGTATAGTTATTTCATGCATTTTTAATAACTAGTGGACCTTTTTAGAGTGCATGTTTATTTATAGCATCAACATTCTAGAATCCTCCATTATTCTCACTTATCCAGAGGTACCTTTGCCTGATATTTAAACTTTAAAAATATTCAAGATATTAAAAGTTTTTAAAGCAAGTTGTCATATGAGACCCCAATTAGATCAACAATTTATTTTTCTTTTTTTTTTTTAAGAAAAAAACCATCAAATGCCATTTCTGAAATACTCAGTAAAATTGGTTCTGTAAGATAAACAACCTCATCAACTGGACATTTGTATCACAGTTAATGAAATACCTAAAATAGTTAAAAAAAAAACAAATCTTATAATATTACAACATTACTTTTAATTTGATTGGTCCCTTAATATCCTATATCGATCAATATTTTTACGTCATTGAATGACACCGGTTATTCACTTAATACCCTGTCAACAACAACAACACAACACAACACAAGCTTTGGTTGCCACAAAAAGGAAACAAATGATGGCCGTTTGTGTGGCTTGAAAACCAGGCCTAAAAGTAAAATAAATCTGGCGTCCTCGATGCACTGCAATGCTTGATGAAGGTCCATGAATTTGCATATCAATTGATCATCAGCACAAGTTGGAAATGAACCAGCAGGTATATTCAGTCTTTAGTACATGAGGCAGGATTTCAGTCCATTAAGCTAATGGGATACCAATCTCCAATGCTCTCCTTTACTTTTTAAACAGTCTGTTTATTACAATGAATAAAAATTGAGTTATAACAGCCAAGTTATTCAGTTTAAAGTCGTCAAAATACTTTTTAATTAAACTTTCGAGCATTTGAACCACTTCATCATCATCATCATCATCTTTATTGCCAGACTCAGGAGTCCATTAGAAGACATAAAAAAACAAGCAAAATAAAAACACAGGGTAAAAACATATACAGACAGACAGGACACAGTGTGTGTGTGTGTGTGTGTGTGTGTGTGTGTGTGTGTGTGTGTGTGTGTGTGTGTGTTAGTTACTTGAAGTTTACTTCCCTTCTTTTAACCCTAGTATCACACTGTGGTCCATCAAAGCAGCTAAAAATCTGGGTCGTAGTGACATCTGTTGGTGAAGCTTCTGTAGGACCATACATGTGACTCTACCTGGTGTTAGGGTGAAATCAGCTTCCCCCAGAAGCCCGTTCTCATCGCGGTGTGCCCTCCGTTTAGCCTTTTCTTTTATTGTCAGCGTTAAAGAAAATGGGAACCTTGTGGAAGGAAGAGGAAATGCGCTAAATGATATGATAATAAAGAGGCAGCGTTACAGCCCCGTTTATTGTAGGCTATTCAGGAAGAAAACAGTGCGTGGTAGGCCTATTATTGCTTCATATTTTTGAGTAACCGTCATCTAGATGTAGGATTGTGTGAACATAAAACTGTCGTGCATCCCATATGACCGAAAAAACGACGGACGAGATGCTAAACTCTTCTTCCTCTGTGACCGAGGCGAGAGCACGGCGACGGACACATTTTGCCTGGGTAACAAACTGTGGCGTAACACCTGTAAACATTCAGCGTTGACACTCATTTGAAGACGCGTGCCGTGCCTCTTTTTCACGGCCAAGCCTACTTCCTGGTGGACAGACAGCGCCTCAGTGTTGTCGTAGTGAGCAGACGGGGTAGCTGAATTAGAGGAGAGAGGCTGTTGATGGTCTTGCAGTCAGTAAAATAGCACACTTTTCTTTGCTTATTTTGACGGACGGAAACAAACAAACAATGGGGAGCACCGTGACGGAGTCTAGCAAGGAGAGCGAGAAGAAAATGCCAAAGAAGAGGAGAAGTCTGCGGATTAACATGCCAGTGAGTCGGTGAAGTGTCAACTAATTTGGCTTCTTACTGCGACAGTTTAAAAAAAACTGCACTGTTGTTGAACTCTGAATTCGGGACGTGAACTTCTTGACGTTTTTGATGCTGTTGCGGATGATCGCCACTCACGCTCTCCAGCTGATACAATAGTAGGACATAGCTTTGTTTAGTGGCATTGACGTTTGTTAGAAACAGTTGTGTGTTTAAAACGTTAAATCGTCTGTTTAAATGGACACTTTTCCACAGTATTTCCACAAGTAACCCTTTACTGTCATGTCATTGCAGGCTGCTTCAGTGTCAATAATGCCTTCGACTGTAACCAGCGTTGTTATCGTCAATAACAGCCTATACAATTTCCTGAATATCTTTTTCCTTACCAGAAATCTAAAACCCCAGAAACTCAGAGTCAGTAGTAGCTATAAAACAGAGAAAAGCATCAAATTCATGCACATTTATGTTGTAACAATAACAGCTTTATCATCATACTAAAAACAAATATCAGCCCAGCTATCATTGACCACGACCAGCAGCTAAATGTTGTTCCTGTGTTAATTTGTTGGCCTATTTCTGATTCAAAGTTGTGTCGAGTCATCAATATGGAAATGTGATGTATGGCAAATGTCTTTCTTTGACTTGTGAGATCTTTTGAACCTTCCTTTTCATGATCAAACATCATCATAATAAAGTGAGCACACTTTTGTTGCAGCTAATTTGTTTGGGCTTGTGGCATGGATAACAGCCATGATGCAGAATAGCTCACAGGCATGTGTACTTCGCAATGTCAATGTATTAAATCAGCCGAGAGCATGCGTTCCCAACCCAAAGACAAATTAAATGGATAGGTATACTGTTTCCTGTTCCAGATATAATACAATAAGTCAGTTTTTTTAAATATTCTTTTCATAAATAACCAAAATCCAGCTGAAGATTTCACTTTTATGATTTGTTAATGTGCAGCCCTATAAATCCCTTCCATCCTTATAACAAAACATCATGTTTTTGGCAAAAGTGCTGGATGTTGGGTTTCCCTCCTCCACATGTACTTCTCCAACTCCGGCCTGGTAGAAACACTATTGCAGTTGCAGAAAATATATTACAGCAGGTTTGCATGTTTACTTATCATGTCTGTGAAAGTAAACAGCCTTTCTGCTAAAGCATGCAAAGTCTCATTCTAAAGAGGAGGGTCAAACCCAACTCTTGGTGTGGAGATGGAGCGTGTCATGTGTAAGAAATGCTTGCAAATGCTGTTTTTCTTCTTTCTAAGGGGAATGCTTAAAGGCCAACCAAAAGCTGTACACTTTGAAGCAATGTAGAAGGTCGATTATGTCAATTATTTAGCTCAATCTGGCCTGCGGAGCATGTACAGGCCTAGAAGGCTTTCATGAGACATGCAGGTTTGTTTTTCTGCTGTATTCCCTAAAAGTTCCCTTTATCCTTGACTCTTCGATTTCCTCTTTGTGCAGGACTTCGGTGCATTTACTTCCCCCCAAGTGGAGACGAGTAGCTCAACTAAAAGTGGCACTCAGACGGTATGGAAATGGTTTTTATGGAATACATTTTTCTGTAAGGATTTTTTCTTTTTCTTGCCAACTGTTTGTTTTCTTGAGCTTGTTTATTTCTCCAGCACATTATTTATCTAGTCTCTTTGGCTCTTGTTTGTTTGGCTTTGAACACATTTAGATGATGATTTAGGAGAGAGAACCATTAGAAGGCCATCTCTTTAATACTGCCAACCCCTCAAAAGCCTACAATAACATTACGCCCACTGTGGCCAGGCATAGCACTAGCACATACAGGAAATTGATTTTCCTCAAAGAAAGTAGCCTCTGTCTACTGTCTATTCTAATTGATCGACCATCAAATATTTCATAAACCTCAGTAATATTTGTGCATTGTTGAATAGAAATCTGCATTCTCTTGTGTTTTGGTAGAGCTGATTTATATCTTATCTTGCCTTGACAAGCTCTTGCACAATGACAGAGTGCGACTGGTTGCCAAACAGAAAAAAAATGGGTGTGTGCATTTGCTGCCTCTGATTTGTTACAGGATTGGTCTGAACAGAAATGTGTGTATGTGGTAGAGCCACCCTTAAGCAAACAGCATGCTTAACCTTTTGTTAAGGAGAGCAGGCAAAAAACATTCCTCCCATCTGTGATTTGATTTGTCACATTGTTATATGTTTTCCCCCGCAGAGCAGCAGTGATTCTTTTTGCCATAATATTGTCATGCAGCAGTTTTGTTGAGTCTTTGCCTGCCAACATTACTACTAAAACACCCCTGTTGCATTTTATTGTTTATTGTAAATACAACCTCCAAGATGAGATCACTGCATAGTGCTACACTGTATCAGAGACCACAAATGGTTAATAGATTGTGTTGTTGGCACATCCAGAGCGGGCAGCAGGCGGTGGTGGGAGGAGGCTCCCGCTGTCTCCAGCTAGATTGGCTGCAGTCTCTCGTGTTTTGTTTTGATGTCTGCACAGCCGATAGCAAAGAATTTCTCAGTCTGTTTTCATGATGCCGACCTTGCAAAGACAGACTTATACACAACGAAAGTTACGACGAAAAATATTGTCACCAGGGAATTTCTGATTGTGTGGCGCTGAGTCAGGTGGCGCTTTAAATGAGGGCGAGGCCGTTAACACAATGTGATGTGAACACACTGTGCAGCATGACATTTCCAGTTAGTGGGAAATGCAAATTGTACAGTATGTAATGAAATGGTATACAAAAGATTTTGAATGGATGATGAATACCAAAAGTCCTAAATTAAGAGACAAAAGGTTCCTCAAAGAGACCTGTGGTTTAAAAAGTCCAGAGATCAATATTGTTTGTTTCCCTGTAACATTTATTGCCTTTCTTTGTTAGATTTGTGCTGGATAATAAGATGACATTTGAGTTATTGCACTTATAGCACATGATACTCATATTCTCGTAATCTTTTTTTACGAGATGCAATTAAGTGTAACAATGTGGCAAACTAAACAAAACAGAGGTACATATGTGGGGGAAAAAAGCAGAAGTAACCATCCAGAAAGTAATTGCAGCAGCTAACATTTCACAATACATCTCACCTCCCCTTCAGCTGGACCTTTAGTTTGGATCTTGTTATGTGGAGAGTTTCACTCAGCATTGAAAATATTCACATGGCGGCCATTTTTCTCTTACGTCAATCTCAGGGTGGGGGAGCTCAAAAGCTGTAATAATGTTGGAGGCCACTGCTGCTGTGTTCAGGTTGTTAGTCTAATAAATTCAATGAAAAATACTTTTGATAATAGATCATTAAAAGTCATAATCTATTGAGAAAAGGACACTTTTAAGGCATTTTATAATCCACAGGGCCATATTTGAAAGTGAAACAAAATATTCAATCGACCTTTAGCTAACATCATACGTCAGCTAACGTTAGCATTCAGCCACTTACTAGCTTATATTGGAATAAACTTGAAAATAGCTGATAGCCATTTTTAGTATTTACTGGCGTTAATGAGTACAATTGGAAATTTAAATGTCATATTATGCAATGTTACACTTAAACCTAAACATGCAGTAAGCTGAGAAATGGTTACATACAATTATTAGCTGACGTGAGCTAACAGGTTATCATTATGTTGTACAGCAATACAATAGGAAATGTGTCAGTTTTATCTACTGCAATTTTACATCAAACCCATAATATAAACAAAGAGTAAGCTAAGAAGTGCTGCTACCCACAGCTATCATCATATATGTTGTGTGTTTACTGATTTTCACTATAAAGTGTCTTTTTAGTGGATTAGTAATCAGTCTGTGATGTTATGGTAATAATTGTCATGGCCTTTAGTTTATAACCTGGAACATGTTAGTACAAAATCCCTGCATCATTTGGACATACCACCCTGAGCAAAAAAAAAAAATGGTTCTTGTAAGAATTTGGTGAAGAGCTCTGTAGCCCTTTCAGCTTTTCTCTTAATAATGTGTGGGTACATGGACAATACATTTTTCAGTTACATAAATCAATTCTTTTTTGTTCCTCAGGGAGAGCGTTGCACCCGTTCAGCTAGCCCCACAAAATCAGTGTCTGCGAGGAGCCCAGTCCTCCTGCCCCCGCATCCTCAGTCTGCTCCTGTGCAAATGAAGACCAGCTCAGGTTCACCCAAAACTATCTTCCCCTATCCCTCACATCAGAGCTCCCCACCTAAGTCCCCCCGCCGCCTGAGCTTCAGTGGTATCTTCCGCTCGTCATCCAGCTCCTCACCTGGGAGCATCAAACTCTTCTCCAGAACCAAGAGAGGTGAGTCAAATGTATACCGCTGCACTGTATGGATGAATGAATGAAAACCAGCTTTCATGGTGAAAACTGAGAGAGAAAACTGTATTTAAAACTGTTTTAGAATAGCAAGTAAGGAAAGTTTGAATATAGCATTGCACCTGAACCGTCAAACCCCTGTTATGAAAGAACAGATTTTGGAGGCAACACGACTGTAGAGGAAGTAAGACCCAATAAATGTTACTGAAAAGTTTATTTCCTGCTCTGCAAGGTGAACCCACAAACAGGAACTTGTGTCTAATTGATTTCATCAGTTCAGATATTTTGCAGCCTGAGATGCAGCTGAAATAAAAACTTGTTATGCAGCATTTTCTGCGTTACTCACTTTTGGATTTTGTTGTCGCCAAAAAGGAAGTAGAAGCCTGGAGATCCTTGTCATGAAAAAGAAAAGTCTGTAAGTATGTCACAATAGGGGGGTTGTGACCATTGCCACCAGCCTTGTCCGATAATTTTTGAAACACTTGATAACAGATGGATGCTCATTCATTATCAGTAATCGTATTACTGATGTCAACAACTTTCCCTTGGAAGGGGGTATGACTGGCTTTGTTTATTGTCTGGATCAAAAGGGGTTCTTTTTTCTTGCTCCTTATTTCCTACATTCAGTGACAAAATTTCAAAGACCTTTCTTGTATTAAGTTACAAGTTTGGCATCCCACAAGCAGGAGTCTTGTCTTAGATCATTCTTCATGTCAAAATTAAAGACATAATGGCAATACTGTTATCCACAAATAAGCGGAAATTAAACAAGACCTTGTTTTGTTCAGAACAGACCTTGGCAGATTTTTATTTCTCATGTCTCCATGTAGTTGGATGGCTGATTATTACATAACCCCAAAGCAGCTTGTTTTAAACGGAAACAGCTCTGCTTAAAGCAGCATCAAACAGCCTAAGGATGACTCACATGTTTTTGGCTTGTACATAAACCCATTCTTCTATTTTCCGTGCAGAGGGTCAGTCTGGCAGCGGCTGGTGGAACAGTTCAGCCAGAACCAGACCTCAAAAGTCAGCCTGCTGTGTTTCCTCTGTTATTGATGGTAACCAAAGTAAAACATACCAAAACACACCGACTGCCACACATGTCTCCTGCCAGCTGCTTACGATTTCTAGAGTCTGATGTGGTGGAGACATTACATCCTCTCCTGGTTCATTTTCAGACTAATGATGTGGCTCTTAATGACATGTGGCCAACGATAATAGCAACAAAGTATTCTTATTAGAATTCATACTGTGTGGGGACTCCAGCTTTTCTATTTTTATGACTCAGATATTTTTGTAGGCACCCTACTTTCACCACAAGAGTGTGCTGAAGTCATAGTATTGTCCACATCTAGTTCCCCAGCATAAATAAGATAAATAAGCTTCAAATGTTATAACCGACACCTTATTATAATAACAATTTTTTTTAAGTTTAAGTAAACAGAGTTGTTTATTCAGACTTGAATGACCATAAGCATCAGATATTGACTCATCTACATATAATGTATAAGGGGACCATTTTCCAAAGATGCATTAACATCTGTATTTGCATGAAATATGATCAGAATGTCTTTGAATCGTCGTGTGGTGTAAATATGTGTTTCCCCATCGCCTGCACAATGTCAGACTCTCACTACTGAAGGCGCCTGCACTACTTTCATAACCTTATCAGGAAGTGACCAGACTCTGGAGCTCCACATACAACCATGCAGAGATTCCCCCCCCAGCCCCCTCTCTCCCTCACTGTCTCTGTTGCTACTGTGAGCTGTATGTTGTCAGTAAATAAAGCAACCAGGCAGATGTGACTTTCTAAATTCATCAAATGCAGCCTTACAAGGCCAGACTGATTTTTGTTCTGAAAGGGAAAAGCTTGTGAAGAGCTTAAGAAAATACACCGCTGACACATGGATGTATTTCAAAATCCTTATGGATCTGTAACCTAGCAACCTTGGATACAAAATGGAGTGCATTTATTTAAGATAATGAAAACTTTATCACAGTGAGGATCAAAGGACATCAAAGTCATCATCATTGATATTTATCTTCTCACATATATTAGCCATTGAGCCACTGAGCCGAGTGGAACACTTGCATAACATGTTAATTGAGAGCTGTGCTGGACACTCTGTGGCTAATGTGAGCAGCAAATAGTGAGTGGGCCATCTGTTAGGGGAAGAGGAGGCTGCTGGTGTTGAATGGAGGCTTTCTGATCAGCTGACAGAACATGGGATGTCCCCCTGCTGTCATCTGACGGGGGGCTGGCCTCAGCAGTCTTAAATGTCAGGCCCCCAAAAGTTACCGACGACCAACTGTGCAAATGACAGAGCTGCAGGACTCCCAGGGAACAACCCAAACCTCTTTATCAACAACCAATCATTGAAAGCTGCACTTTAAAAATACGCAGATTCAAACTTGAGGGGTCTGTATCACAGTAAATGCCTGTATTTGTGATCCTAGATGAGTTAAGACAGAGTGTGATAGATGTGTCCTCCGCTGGCTTTTACTGTGTGTGAAGAAGGAGGGCAGTAAAAGGAGGTGGAACAATGTGCAGCATCAGCCAATCACTGGTGTAGCCTTTATAAACTGGCCTCCTTTTACAGGCTGCTGACATGCATGCTATATTAAAGAGACGCCACCCACAGCTGCACCTGACAATTTACAGCACTGACAAGGCGTAGAAGGGGCTCCACTACCAGTTGTTATTTGCATCACTTGCACGAGGGACAATTCTCAGCTGAAGCTGTGTGGAATTTACAGCTTTCATACCCCTTATGTGTTATTAAATGGATGAGCCGACACAGATACCGGACACTGACTCCTGCTGACTCTGTGCGCTGTGGCACTGAAGGATTTTCTCTTCTTTCTTTTTTTTGTTGCCTGGATATGCAAGCTCAGAAGTTCTGCAGTGTTTTCTCTATTGGCACTTAAGGATCCAAGGATGCTGTACTTCATGAAATATCAAAAGTAGTCATTGTTTCCCTGCAGATTTAGCTCCAAGAGCATTCACACCTATTCTTCAGTCGTTAACTGAAGATAACTAGTGTCCTTCTTTACCAAAATCGGCCGGCCATCTCTCTCTCCTAAAAATGGACTAAACTGCTTCAATAACGAACCACTCTAGAGACCTGTGAACTGCTCAGTGGGGTATACTTTTCGTCTTATTTTCTGTAGAACTTTCTGCATCTAGTACATGGAGTAATTATTACTTTGGACTGTTTTGAGACGTCTCTGTGCCCCTATCTTGATGTGGATTGTCATGGTCAGATTTAATTTTGAACCCACGACCCACTGCTGTTCATGAAGAGGTTTGGCAGTCTGAGGAGGAGCAAGAAACGGAAGGAGCAAGATGGGCTAGGAGGGAGGCATCAGTCCGAGGCGTCATGTCTGTCTGGTAATGTGCCTTCCTCTTCACCTGACACATAACTCCTTTATCTTAAAATGTTCCTGCAGCGTCCGCCAGATAAGTAAACTTGGATCCAGCTATTTGAGTGTTTAAAGTTAAACAATCTACACTGGTTGAGGGATGTCATATTTGAATGGTTCCAAAATCATGCTGATTAAGTTATGTAATGTAAATAATGTCAGCGGTGGTCTTAGGTGATTCATATAGCTGGTGCTGGTTACACGGCCGTTCTCCTGTTTCAAAAATGCATGCAGTTCATCTGCACAAAGTGACATGACACAGACTAAAGTGGTACAGCTATGTGTAGGGGCTCGCTTGGGGTAAGAGGTTAGCTGTCACTCCGCTATATTTATAGATGCACCTGAATTACTGAACATAGTGAATGATGCTTTATGTTTGATCCACATGTGAATCAATGAAACATTATATGTGGCATTTGTTATTTTGTTGTATCAATGCCGTTAAGGTTCAAGCGATTTTGAGCCTTCCTACACTCAGTGTAACTTAAGTCATTTTTTTTTGTCCCATGTCCTAAGAGAGCCTCTTCAGTATAACGCTCCATTTTGAACAACTTTATTTAAATGGACAGGAAGCGTATCAGCTTAATCAGTGACTGTGAATTATCTCTGTGCTCTGTATTCCTTCATCTTCTCATGAAAGCGATCAGACATTAAAAAGTTACACAGAAAAGAGAAATGGCAAACACTCAGTTCACCGTGCAGGCGTAATGCAGTCATCGTCAAGTATTTGCTCATAATGCTTGATTAGTGAAGCACTGGGGCACACTATGTTGCATTCAAGTGCGACTTTAATCACAGACTTCACAGCTCCTGATTTAGAGCTAGCCTGACCTCGGGGGGGATGGGGGATGGATGAGAAGGGCCGAGTCCTGTCATAATGATGAACGTCCATATGTGGACGTATGTGGCTGGACATGATGTAGAGTTCATCGTTAAGGCAGAATGTGATGTGGTGACACCTCAGCAAACATCCTTTAATCCAGTGTGTGCCTCATTTCAAAATGTTATAATGCAGTTTGCACTTCTATGTACATTAATGAAGCAATCATCACTACAGTGTCGAACAGTTAAGCCCTTTGTAACGAGGATGCTGTGTTGTAGTGTACCCTCACTAATAGTAAGAAATTACATAAACTTTTTCTTTGGAATACTTCTATACATCCACTGACTGTATAAAACAAGAGGACATAGCCAGCCGAGACCAAATTTGCACTAAAGGTTGAAATCCCAAGAAACAATCAGTGAGCTGAAGGGCATCTACACACTTTATTTCACAATAAAATTAAGCCTTCATATAATTTGAATGTGGGTGAGTGGGGTAATTAGCTAAAGTGACCAAGACCTGTAACAGGTTGTATACGTTAATTTCTCCTGTTTAGTCATTTTGATATGGTAGTGTGTTAGGATAGATCCCTTTTGGAGCCAGCCATCAAAGGTTGTTTGTGGAACAGCACTTTTTTGGCATTGTTGTGTTGGCCCTGCAGCTTGTCGTGTGGCCTACACACATACACAGTATTGACAGTAATGATTCATAATGTTCCCAGAGAAGGTTGAGGAGTGCGTCTATTGGGCCTGTTGCTGCCCCCCTACTGCTCTGCCTTCAACCTACAAGGCTCAGGTTGCTCTTAGACACATGTACCCACTAAACTAAAAAACACCCAGACAACTTCATAGGAGGCACCCAGACTAAGAAGATCTGTTTATTGGTGTTATGATGTTGTGCTTCAAATTGTGATTGAAAAACTCCTGTGATTAACCTCTGCTAGTCTGCTTCCGTCTGAGAAGCCCTGCACCTGAGTATCGCTACAAAGATTATAGTTCTGCAACTTTAATTTGCAATTCACTATCCTAGTGGATAATCTGTTGCAAAGAATATCTGGAAATGGGGATTGGATTGATTTATTTCTGTATGAATGTAAAGAGATTTGAATATATATATAGCATTTAAGTGCTATTCTCAGTATCAGTTTATCTACTCATTGTTTCCTTGACTCTAAAATAATTATCTCTTGGTCAATACAATTCTACAATTCACTTAGCAGACGCTTATCCAAAGCGACGTACATCAGAGTACAATACATATCAGAAAAAAAGGACATCTTATTTCCTAAATACAAATTGGATCAAGATGTCTTCTCTATATTTCTTTCATTTTAAGTCCAAAATGTAAAACCTTCAATTTACAACAAATTTATGACAAAGGGATGCAATAATCCACCACGAACCTAAAAGTAGAGGCTTTAAAATGAATCCATTCTCAAAAGAAACAAAACATTTTTCTGTTAATCACGTAATTAATCACTTTAACTCATTGCATCTCTTATTGAAATAATAAAATATAGTAATGTGTGTAAGATGGACTGGACAACTAACAGTGAGGCACGTATTTCCTGTTTCCTGGTCGACGTGTTATTGCCCTGCATTAAACCGGGCAGAAGAGAGGGCTCCCAGCCCCGCTGTTATCTCCTCCTGTGGAATTTGCCACAACAGCGCAGCTAAAATAAGAAGGCCACACAGCGGAAGCAGCCTGCGCCAAAAGAGAGCTGCATGCCAACTAAATGTCAAGAGATAGTGTGTAGCACACTTGGACACACCGAGTAAAAAAAAAATGTCACTCGACACACGGGGCTTTATTTATGAGAATTGTCTCCCCTGATCCGGTGCATTTCAGAGTACTAACTATCTGTCTTGTAATGGGTCGTGTAATATGAAGACATGATAAAAGTCATCTGGAAGTCTCATGGAACACTAGTTTGGTCCAGATCATTCATGTTATTCATTGTTTGGCCTCAGAAGTATGTCAGCAGGGTGGAGAGGGCCCAAATGAGTGTCGCATGTCGCCCATGTGTAAGATTGTGATGTGTGATGAGGATGCATGTGAGGAGCTGCGTCACAGACAGCTGACTGTTACACTGAAGTAGTGTCTAATTCAGCTGCTAATGTTGTAATCAGCTTAGTTTATTTGGACGGCGTTGGAAATTGAATTCATTATGTTTCTTTTCAAATACTGATCTGATATTGATGTCTCTTTTTATAGCAATGATATGGAAGACTCAAAGGATTTTCATTTAGAGAGTAATGCAGATAAGAACAGCAGAGTCAGAACAGTTGAGAGCCTTAAATGTAATGTTTTATATGATCCTTTTCTTTATTCATTCATGGAAAAAAGAAAGGGATGATAACATTCACAATACAATACTTTGTGGTGCAAGGTGTAAATGTTAAATAATCTAAAAATATATAAAAACTCAGCTTTACTTTAATAGTCTTTTCAGCGTATATTATGAATCGATTTTTAGATTGAATTTATTGTCTTCATGTCATTCCATTTTGCTTTGAAGCAGTGAAGTATTTACAATTTGTGTATCCACCTGTTTATGTAAAGACACGCAGCCAATTTGTCACACTAAAAAGTTTATGAGGTCCAACCCTCAGAGAAGTAATAGGAGCTCTCACTGTTTCCCCCGAGCACACACAAGATCCTAAGGCATCTCTTCCTGAGCTAAAGATGCCGCTAATTTATATAGTAGATAAAACTTTAAAAAGCAGGGGGATACACGAGCCACATTGGTGGTAGCACATTAAATCAATTAGCAAAAGATGAAGGCTACGCTCACCCACACAGGTGTTTTGGCTAATTAGACTGGAGGTTGGGCTCAGTTATGCTATCCACCATATTCGCGGCAGCCATTTTCTTCTGACGTCATGCTCGTATTGAACCTATAAGCTAACACTTCTAAACAGATCAAAATAGCATTCCCTTACTTCCAACATACATTGCATTGTGATAGTGTAACAAGATACGACAAGAAAGGCCCTATAATTCTTAGCTAGTTATATGAACCGTCTTGGAGTAATGTTAGGTTGGATTGGTTACAAGCTAATGTTAGCCTTAGTGACTGAGCTGTCTTTATGACTTTACACATACGTTGTTTTGAAAGCTCATTCTCTGCTGACAGCTAAGTGAGAAACTAATTCTAGCTAATAATTCACAAACTTCACAATGAGCAAGGAATTGCCATCTTTCTTATTGTATTGTTTAACATTATCAAACTTCAGCTCACCAGTGGTTGAATGCTAATCTTGGCTGTTGTTAAATTGTTGCCTCTTACTAGCCAGGACTCGCTCAGTCCCTGATGGATCTGAATTCTGAAATTCAATAAACAACTTTCTTGCGACTTAAAATACGAATAAAGACGTCATAAAATTAAACAAGCAATATTAAAAAAAAAAAACTTACCATCCACTAAAAAGATCTTTCATCCATGCCCTTTGCCGTTTCTGAAAATGTTAGAAAACATTTTTAAAAAGTGATCTTTGAAATCAAAAGAAAATAATTCAGAGTTGTTTGAATACCCTAAGAGGAGGGCCGTTTTATGGACTCTTGTTGAATAAATAATCACGAGCCCATTGGAAGATAATGTATGATTACATCTGCTCACAGTCCTCATGATGAGGTCAAATCAGGCAAAATAAGCGAACTTGCCTGTGTCCGCTGACTGTGTGTGTGAAAGCCTTTTACGTTTAAAATCCTTTTTTTTAATGACGGTACAAGCATCTAACATTGTGAAAATGTATTCGTCATTAAAACATGTTATGAAACGAAAATTATCTTCGCATTGAATTAACATTTCACAGAGTCATTGAGACTGCATATCTTTATAGCAGTCTAGCGCCCTTAAAAGAGAGGAATTATAACATTTTCATGTGTTCATTATTATATTGGTTGGATAAAATAACAAACTGTCTCTAAATAGGGTATTATATAAGGCTGTGAAGACTTGGACTTTTTAGGTTGCGCATTGCTTTTTGTTTTCATGTTTGTTGAAGGTCTCTGTAAGAGCTATCACATGCTGCTAATAGTTATTTAGATTCATAATTTAATTCATTTTTTTCAAACAGTTTTATCGCTGTCTTTGTTATGTGCTTTTACCGTGTTCAACTTGTCTTGATCTCTCATATCTGTGTTGCTTCTTAGTATCCAGGTCTCTCTTCTCCAGTCCCTGTTGGATTAGATATACATTCCCTCTCTGTTATAGCATGTGACAACGCTGACAGCACTGATGCTATCTGCAGCAGTCATGGTTGTGGCACCTCAGTCTTGCCAACTAAGACTATCATCGACCTGAATCTGCACTGCGCAGTATTGATTGAGAAACAAGATATATGTTTAGGTATTTAATGTGGATCTCTTTTTTTATCTCACTGTAGCCTCGGGACTCTTCACATCACCCACCACCCCGACCCAGTCGTCCAGCCAGCCTGTATTCACCCAGGAGGCCATGCCCAGCAGGCCCAGCCCTGAACGCCAGGAACCCCACTCTCGATCCCGCTCACTCTCCACGCCTCCTGACACTGGACAGCGTCTCAGCCTTCCTTCTGCTAAACCCCCGATCCCTTCGTCGAGCCCTGTACCATCTTACTCTACCTCACAAGTGAGTCACACTGAAAAAAAATCCATTTTAAGACGCCATTTAAAGTGAACAGGAAATAATGTAGCTCAGAACACATACAACAGATAACAATGTGACTTCTTTCCCCTTCACCAATGTTAAAAGATAAACAAACATTAGGTGGAAGGACTGAAGCCTCTAATGCCTCTCCAAAGTCAGAGCCAACTTTTGTTTATCATGGAGCATCGATTTTACATTATTGGTGCAAAACTGGCTCAGAGTCCCTAAAGTGACTTCCTTCAAATGAACCAAGCAACCACTGAAATGGGCCACAGATATAACACGTGCCTATAAAGTGAAAAAAAGTTCAATGTTGTTTTTTCTCAAAAACATGCAAGGAAAGATGTATAATTTTGCAGAGTTGTTCTGATAACAATACAAGTGTCTGTAACAGCCTCCCCACGTGGTATCTCTGACGCAGCTATTCATTCCACAGATCCACTACCAAAATGTATTAACCCTCCAAAAAGTCAAGTAGGTTTAATGCAAATGACCATGTCACAATATAAACAACAGCAGTGTGATGCTAGCAGAGGGTACAACTTAAATCAGCAACCAGTGTTATTATAGAATAGAATAGAACGTAGGAATGTATATTGTAAACACTAGTATTGAGGGGTTACTTTGTATTGGCAAATATTATAGTGTGGGTTTTAAAATCTATAAATTTGGAGGCAAAATGCTGTATCTGTGCACTCATTTAATATCATAATGAAGATTTTTTTTTTTTTTTAAATACTGATGAATCCTGCATGAATTGCAAGATTTTAAAACAGATTACAGTGGCACAGACATGCATTTAGTCGTTGGTCATGTGCTTCTTGCCTCAGTGTCACAAGTTATTCTCTGCCAGAGGTGCACATAAAAAGCAGCAGCAGAACATGGTGTAACTACTGTCTCACAATTAAGAAAAGCTCTCCAACAGCATTGGAAATGTGAGAGAAACAGCTGAGAATTGGTCGCGCATTTTGTCAGAGAGGTTTTCATTATTGGTATTGTTGAGGATTCATCACATTTTTTGAGGAAATGCTTCTTCACTGATTTAATGAATAATTATCTGAAGGGCTGCCTCGACCTGTCTGCTGTGAGTGATTGTGGATTCCAGCCAGAGAGGATAAGTCAATACTTCATCACCAGCATTGGCACGGGTGATATTAACACCCAAGGACTCATGATTGTGGTTGAGGACGGATGAATCAGTGCCTGTCAGCCTCTCCAGCCCACTTTTTACCATTCATAAGGGCGGCTCACAAATAACCGCCTGCTGCTATAGTTATTGTTTGGCCAATCCAATTCCACAAGGCAATCATTTTAATGGATTTGTGTATGTCCGCTTCCCGGGAGTTTGCTGTAACACTGAAGCGGGTTATGTGCAGTGATGCAGCGGCAGGGAAAGATTTATGACTGTGCAGGAGCGTTTCTTTGGCAAGAGAAGTGCTGTGTCACCATTGCAGGGCGACACTGGGGGCTGCTTAGCATCTCAGAGCAGGTATGCAGTCCTACCCATACTGCTGCATTGGCTCATTGTGGATCTACTTGCAAATTAGGGCCAAGGGAAAACCTTCAATCAAGGTGTTAATGATGAGGATGCAATTAGCCTGGCATGACACAGCATATTTGATGATGATACTGAATTGCCATATGCAAATGGGGGAACAAATGCATATCGTGGTGTTTTTTTGTGTTGCTGGTTTTGTCAAAAGAAATGAACTTTTACTGAGGTGACGAGACATCCCCAGCTTCTTGCTGCTAAGCAACGTCAAGGGATTTCCTAATATGGTGAAGCAGCCAGGTTGCCCTGCATGGAGGGTGTGTCCACAGCGCGTGGAGCTTCCTGGTTTTTCCTCCACGGCTTGTGAGAGTGTGTGTATGTATGTGTGTGTGTGTGTGAGTGTGTGAGAGAGAGAGTGTTTCCCAGCGGGTGAGTGTGTTGTTCAGCACTTTATATCTCTAACAATGAATTCCGCTGATTTATTGTGGCGGGATTCATCATCACACGCTCGTGTAGAGACTGTTTACTGCAGCAAATGGATCAGGACTGTTCCACTGCGAGTTTAAAGGGGGTGTGTGTGTGTGTGTGTGTTGTCTAATAATAATGTGGCACACTGAAGTTGCAGCTCTGGAGCACAAGGGTTTCGTCACGTTACCTGAGTATATTTAGCGGACAAGCCTGGGTTTCTGTAACCGGTGAAACGCAGGTGGCAGGCGTCGTGTTTCGTGTTTTTTTATTTTTTTTTTTTATTTTTCTGTTTTGTTTTGGTGCACTCTTGTGTGCTCGTTTGGGGAAAAGTGTCTTCACCCTCCTGCTGCTGTTGTTGCTCACTCACAATTTACAGCAAAGTTTTGTCGCGTGTTGCCGCTGAGAGGATTTGAAGTCACGGCTAAGTTGTGTCTTTTATCCCACAGGTCTACTCTTTATTCGAAGGCATGCTGGAGAAACTTGAGCTAGATGATGACGGTAAGTGTCCTATTGCTTTTACTACACCATGTAGGCAATCATAATATAACGTAGTGAGGACTTAAGTCAGGTTGTAAATAGGCATTCCGCTTTTTTTTTTTTTGGCTCATAGAAGCGACTAATATGAGATTAAACCAACATTTCTGAGCCTTAAAATAACGCAGCGTCTACTCTGTGCTGTCCTGATCAAGCCATTCATAAACACAATGTGATACAAAGCACTTTATCTTTATACCCCGGTAATTAAAAAAAGTAGTTCAAAGAAGGTAAATGATGGACAATTTCCTGAGAAACGCTATTTATATTTTAGTTTAAAAAGAGACATTCAACAGGCCTCCTTTCTACAATTTTGTTATTGAGGTAATTAAATATTTGGTCATGTCAGACTGAAAATAAGGATTAAAAAAAATGATTAAAGGCTACATATAGTTTTTTGAGAAGTTAATCATCCGATCTGTGAAACAAAGATTACAAATGGTCATCCCAAGTACCCACAACTAAATTTAATTTGTTCAAGTGCTTGTTAATCTAATTGGAATTGAACAATATTTAAATTTGAAGAGTTGGACAAGCTAACTTTTACTGGATGATAATGATTTTAAAATGTAGTCAGTATACTCATCAGCACATTTTTTTTTTCACCGCCACAATTAGTAAAACAATTGTCTTCGTCATGTGAAGGCTCTTCCTGCAGTACTTTGCTGTCTGTGATTTTCCACTGTTTCTGTGCTTGTTGTTGCTTAAAGCAGAGTTTAATTATCAGTGAGATGGAGCAGTAAAGTGGCTGTAAGTGGTCCAGGCCCATAATGGTTGTTTAGGCTTGTGAGAGTGTGTTTTGTTTCCAGACTCTCATTATATATTCCCTGTGAGATTTCTCCCTCCTCTAAAACTATTTTCCAACACTAACGTTCTTACAGCTGCTGAACCTGAGAGTGATATTTACATGCGCTTTATGAAATCCCACAAGTGCTACGACATCGTCCCAACAAGTTCCAAGCTGGTTGTATTTGACACGGCTCTCCAGGTTAGTACTTTCAACTGATGTTGAACCTCTTCAGTCAAAGTTAATGTTCAATGAAATCAGAAAGTATTTGCCTCCGAGCAGTTTTTACAAGATGGTTGGTAAAGTTGTCATAAAGCTGTTAAACAGTAATCCTGGGGAGGTCTAAACCCTTTGATGTGTAGATCTTCAACCACTCAATCTGCAGAAACTCAGAGTTAAGAGTCCTTGTATAAAGACACAAACGTAAAATCAACAAACAAAAAAAACACCAGGACTAATGAATGAATGAATGTGCGTCACAAAATACATCAAAGTGTCTCACTACTCATGAGACTGTGCCAGGAACGAACAGCTTCAACAGATGAGGTGCATAGAACCAAACGTTATTTTCAATTATACATTTAATTGTCAAATATTATACATCGAGATAGAGGGGGAAGAGAGGCAAAGTCTTGTGGAGCAACAGTAGCAACTTCTTTCTGAAGTGGGCACTGTGTAGGATGAGATCATGATGAGATTGTCCTCTCAGAGACGGATGTCTTTCAAAATGTTCAATTCTATTCAAATGGAAGGAATACATCCCTCCATCACACAAGCAATGAATAAAAGATGTGAAGCAGAACATCAAGCTGGGGGGAAAGAACTCTGATGTGCCTTAATGGATCTATTAACAGATTCCACAAAACCTGGGACCCATTCATGAACTGTGTGAGGAATCCAACTGACCTGGAACTATGAACTTACTTCCCCTCCGCTGGTCTCTATTATTAACGCTTAAGAGCAGAATGCACTCTGTCACATTGTTTCCTGTTTATTTAACCGTGAGTGTTTGTCTGTGAGTGATTTAAAATGTTTTGATCTGAATGTTGTATTGGATTGTTTGTCCATAATTTTGCACTTCTCTGCACTTGTCAGTGAGGATAGGCCAATTAAATTATATTTTAAAGGAAGTCAACCAATAAGACTATTTAGACCCAGATTTTATTACAAAAATCTAGACCTTTGTCGGATTTAGAACAGTTTACAAAAGTTGCCTAATTCCCAATTTAAAAGAAAGATTTCTGCTTTTTCATGTGGTATTAAAGAAGATATGAGTAACATTTGGGCACAAAACAAACATAGAACAGTTTTAGGCTTATTTTGCTTCATGACTGAATGTAGAATGAGGTGATTGGATCAGCAGATGTTTACTTCGATTGATCAACTGCATTTACTAATTGATCATCAGAATACAGTTTGAAATGAATGAGAAATGATGATCATGACTTTGTTTTATCTGAAATGTTCTTATTGCTTTACCTTATTGGACTTTTAATTTGGACTGTTCTTAACCTGCCCACCAGGTTAAGAAGGCTTTCTTTGCCTTGGTTGCCAACGGCGTGAGAGCTGCTCCACTATGGGACACAGAGAAGCAGAGCTTTGTGGGTAAGAACCCTTGAATATATCAGAAAATACACTTTACAGCCTTTTTTGTGTCTGTTATTAATATACTTTAAAAAAATGTGTTTTTGCTGCACAAGTGGAATATCATTTTGACATATTTGTTAGTTTTTATTATTATCCAGATTTGGGGCTGATATTACCTGCTGTTTAGATCTAAGTTAAGTGTTTTAAACTTGAGTTTAGTTTGAAAAATTTGTAAATTAAAAGAGTAATTAATGCTTCTTATCACATTGCACACTTTAAGTTGCTAAATTTTCAGTCAAACACCTTCTCCAAAGAGAAGACCCAGCTAAGAAATATAACATGAAAAATGCAACACAAAATTCATTTATGCCTTTATTCCCTTTCCTTTCTTTACAGAATATAGTCCACAGTTTTTACCAGAGATAGAAAAGACCACTGACAAATTAACAATGAGAAATCTGTGTATTTATGCTATGGCTAGTAGCGCATGTCACTATATTGAGCAGAAGTCATTACAGCTGTCATAAACCATTTAGCACAGCAGTAACTCCTCTGTATTGACTTCAGCTCCGAGAGTCTGGGGAAAATATTTTACAATAAAAAACAAATCACTGCAGACTTTCCGTTAAAAAGACAGCGTCATAATCCATAGCTTTGTTAAAGTGGCTTTTGTTTTTGCTTTTGATTTTTTTTCCTCCTGCATAGAGTTTATTGTGACTCAGCCTGTGATGAATAATGAATGCCCAGTCAGTGTGAGGGTACAGCAGAGAGGGAGCCAGTGATGTGTTGTTTGCACCACGCCCATGAGAGCAATGTCTTTGCTACTCAGTTGCACAGAGCCTGCAGCCACTGCACTGTATGTTGGGAAAAGATTCAGTGGTTTTTAAGACTTGTTTTCTCTGCAGGAATGCTGACAATCACAGATTTCATCATCATACTACACAGATACTATAAGTCACCGATGGTAGGTAACATAGACACTAAATGTTTGCATGAGATTTACTGCTTTCATTAAGGAGTTCTCTTTGTTTTTTGGGTTGTTTTTTTTTTGCCTGAAACCATGATCTCTATTTTTTTTGTATTTCAGGTGCAAATTTATGAATTAGAGGAACATAAGCTTGAGACGTGGAGAGGTTGGTACTATGATCAAATTCTCATGTTTTTGTGGAATGCATAATGTACGACTTTGTTAGTGTTTTCCAAGCAAAATACAGAACGCCTGAATGTTTTATTTCTTGCTACACAGAGGTTTACCTTCAAGCAACATTCAAACCTCTCGTCAACATATCACCTGATGCAAGGTAACGTAATACATGTTTGTTTTTACACATTGTTCTGTTTGTGAGCATGTTTTATTGAGCCGAATGTAACTTGGTTTTCATGTTTTATGTGTTTCAGCCTTTTTGATGCAGTGTATACACTCATCAAAAACAAAATTCACCGGCTGCCTGTCATCGACCCGGTCACGGGAAATGCACTTTACATTCTCACACACAAGAGGATCCTTAAGTTCCTCCAGCTTTTTGTGAGTCCAACACAATCACTGTCAGGGCATTTTAATCTGTACTTTATGATGGATGATTATCATTAGTTATGGTGGGAAAGGGAATACATCTCAATGTCTCTTCTCTGCTGCCCTCTGGTGGTCAATGTGAACATTAATGGAACATGACACAATTTTTGAGAAATATGCTAAATATGTCCCTGCCACCTTGTGTGTGTGTGTGTGTGTGTGTGTGTGTGTGTGTGTGTGTGTTTGCATGTGTGTGCGGTTGTGTGTGTTTGTGTTTTCCAGATGTGTGAAATGCCAAAGCCAGCTTTCATGAAGCAGACTCTCGGGGAGCTGGGCATCGGTACGTACAAGGACATTGCTTTCATCCACCCGGACACGCCCATCATCAAAGCACTTAACATCTTTGTGGAGAAACGAGTGTCGGCCCTGCCTGTTGTCGACGAGTCTGGTAGGAGCAGAAACTGAAGTGTCTACAAATAATTTCAAGTCATAATAATAATAATAATAAACTTACTTACCTACAGAGTTCTTTATGTTCTCTTACAGGCAAAGTTGTGGATATTTACTCCAAGTTTGACGTGATCGTAAGTTGAATTACCTGCAATTTCTATTTTTGTAGAAACCAATATTTTAGGCCACGTTCTGTCAGTTCCCATTTTTATTTGGACATGACATAAAATATAGGGGGCAAAACTGTTTTGTAGTTTTATTTTCTTACCCTTTTAAGATGTATTTTTGTGTGTGTGTGTGTGTGTGTGTGTGTGTGTGTGTGTGTGTGTGTGTGTGTGTGTGTGTGTGTGTGTGTGTGTGTGTGTGTGTGTGTGTGTGTGTGTGTGTGTGTGTGTGTGTGTGTGTGTGTGTGTGTGTGTGTGTGTGTGTGTGGTGTGTGTGTGTGTGTGTGTGTGTGTGTGTGTGTGTGTGTGTGTGTGTGTGTGTGTGTGTGTGTGTGTGTGTGTGTTCAGAATTTGGCTGCAGAGAAGACCTACAACAACCTGGACATAACGGTGACGCAGGCTCTGAAACACCGCTCTCAGTACTTCGAAGGTGTCATGAAGTGCCACAAAATGGAAACAATGGAGACCATTGTGGACCGAATAGTCAAAGCTGAAGTGAGATATGAAGATGTTTGTATATAATAGGTTACTAAGAAATGTCAGAACTGATATGTTCATCTGTGATTGTGGGGTTTTTCCTGTGTTATCTACCAGGTGCATCGGCTGGTGGTGGTGGACGAACGCTCCAGCATCGAGGGAATCGTCTCCCTGTCAGACATCCTCCAGGCCTTGGTGCTCAGCCCTGCAGGTATAGATGCTCAGCATCACTAACTCCAACTTCCCTTCTGTCCAGGACCCTGAGCTCTCTCCCCACCCCGTCCTCTAACCCTGTCTCGGGTAGGAAAAGCACCCGTTTTACTCCCGACTGTTTGTGGCCTGTAGCTGGCTGTGAGGAGGTTTGTCCTGCTGGATGCCTCTGTGCAGCAGTGTGCTGTGAATTTTTTGTTTTGGGACCAAAAACATCTCTGCTGTTTGCTCCAAACAAATATCTTCTATGCTCCCACCAGTGGAATGGAATATATGGGATCTCTGCCTGTTGGTAATTTTTTCTCTTTAAACAGCAGCATCATGTATACAGATAGGTATATAAGTGAATTATGTCTGGATTTGATAATAACATCCTCTAGGATGATTGGATGCATATTCTCACTGAGCATGATCTGAGTGGATGCCTGGAAAATGTTGTGCATAAACCTTTTTCACATATTTTCTGTTGACATGTTTTGGTTTGCACCGAATAATCAAGAAAAGAAGCATAACATGCAGTGTGGTTTGTGAGGAATGAGAATGGCTCTTAAAAACGCTCCACCGCTTTGAAGTTTAATAGATGCAAGGATACGGATGCTGATATGTGACAGCAGGCTATGGCGCAGACTGGAAAGCAAAACTCATCAGTATGAACTAAGTACAAGAATGAGACCAAATGGATTTAAACAAGACCAGCTTCAGGTCTGTGCTGATTCTCATATTCTCATGATAAACCGTTCTTTTGATCACAATCAAAGCCAGTGGTTTCAGATAAATAAGGTGAAGTGAGAGCTTCAAAAAGAGAAACTTTAACTGGTGCTGGGTCAGAAATCAAACTGAAGGCAAAAATCCAAAAAGGATCCGCACACTGTATTAAAAACTCCCGGCAACTGTTATTGCAAAAGCAAAGTATTGATGTCACGGATCTTCTTCAGGAATTGTCAAGTCAACATCTCAAAGCATGACTTGTGCGACCCACACTTTGACAAATACCGACTGAAGAAAACGACATGAGTAGGTAGCAACTGGTCATTTAAGACTTAAATAAGTTAACATTGGCTAACATAAAAGTTTGTTTGCTTCCTCTTTGCCCCCTAAAGCTGTTGACTAAACTCTGTCCACTAAAGAAGATAAGAGCCTGATCGACACATGTTTTCTTCTATATTATTTGGACAACTCGGAATATAAAAGGACAAGATTTGTATGTAAACCTTTTGTTGTCTGAGTTGTGTTGTCCATCAACTTTTCAGTGGACTTTGGCTGTAAGCAGAAAATAGTCGGATAGACAGAATGCAACCTCCAAATGCAATCCTGGAACCCATCAGCTGTCATCTGATTACGTTTTAGCTTTTGATTAATGTCTGTTAACAGACGTCTGCATATAAGTGCAGCTAACAGCCTTGTCATAGAAGTCTTCTCTCTGCTCCAGCTGAAATCTCAAGTAGCTGGTCAGACTGTTAACAGTGAAGAGAGCACAGGAAATGGACTGTTAGCCATTTTTATTCAATCCAAATAATAGTCGGCTACACATGAATCCCAGAAATATTTACTTTTTATATATTTTTCTAAAGATAGTTGTAGGTTTTAAGGATTGCCATATTGGGAAGGGTTGAATTTTCCCCCTCTAAAATGTCTACAAGTATCGGTCTCAGTAATGCTGTTCATGCCAGGATCAACAGAAGGTGACTTAGTTGTTGCTATATTTAACATCAGTTAACTCCTGTGAACATTTAGTTCACAACTAGAATGTGGCTTAGTGGGGCAACGGTGGAGTAGCGGTCTGTATGTGCGCCCCATGTGCAGAGGCTGTTGTCCTGCAAGCGGGCGGCCCAGGTTCAAGTCCAACCTGTTACACCTCTAACGCGTGTCGTTCCCTGCCCTCTCTCTCCCCGATTTCTGACTCAAAAAAATGAACCTTTAAAAAAAGAAGAATGTGGCTAAGTGAAACAAAACATTAAAACACAAAACCTTTCCACAGAAGCTTGAGTTAGAAATGTTACATTTGAATGGAAAGTAAGACACAACCTGCCTCATAGCAGACACTCAACTGATTGTGAATTCTGCTCAGTAACAGCTCATTTGGCTTTCTGTAGACGTTGCTGCATTTTGCCAGAAGCAAACCGCTCTTCTTTGATGTGAATATGTTTGTATTGATATGCTTGAAATCAAATAACAGGTGCTTGCATAATTAAAGGGATTTCAGTTTGGGAGAAGTTTGTGTTCAGGCTTTCACTCTGTCAGGTCAGTGGAGGAAACACAACATACAAACACTAAGTCTTCACTTAAAAAAGCATGATTTGGGGCGTCGGTGGCGCAGTGGTTAGTGCGTGCGCCCATGTGGAGGCTGTAGTCTTCCAAGCGGGCGGCCCAGGTTCGAGTCCAGCTTGTGGCTCCTTTCCCGCATGTCATTCCCTCTCTCTCTCTCTCTCTCCTGATTTCAGACTCTATCCACTGTCCTATCTCTACAATAAATGCACAAAAAGCTAAAAAAAAAAAAAAATCTTTAAAAAATGTTTATATCATAATCCATAGTTGATTTAAAAAAAAAAAAGAATTCTCACTGGGTCTAAAGAAATTCCAGTGGCCGTGGTTCCGGGCTTCAAAAAGAATCATTAAAATGTTTTTGAAAACAGGAAGCTCAGTTTGGACAGACATGTGTACATGCAAGCAGAATGATGCTTACTCTTGTTTTTATTGACTTATTTTCTGCCGGTTGTATCCAGCAGTGAATAGGATGTAACCCCATTGAGAAGAGGGAGGGGAGTTGCGCAACATTAAGTCCTAAAAAATTTTGGTAGACGAAAATGTTTTGGTAGAACATCTGAATATTCTCCTGTCTAGACGTTGATTGTGGTTAATTGGCTTACATGATGTTTTTTTCCCCAGTGAAACACAGCAGCAGAGAAGCTAATTTGTCAAAGAAATGAACTTTTAAAAAGATTTAGTCTTAATATCAGTTTGACAGTGTGTTTATCTATACAATGTGTCTTCACTTGTGCTCTTTCTTCTTCTCTGCAGACGCCTGTAAGGAGGACAATCTGCCTGAGTGAGAGGGAGGAGGTCACAGGTGAAATGGAGATGCGGTGGAAGTAAATAAGTCTGAATGTTGAGGTAGGGGGAGTGTGAGGCTGAGCAGAGAGGAGCCGGTCTGAAGGTCCAAGAGACGCCTGCAACTGATGCACTATAGAAGCTTAGAAACCAAAGAGCTAGACAGCTGAATGAAGTGAAGTTCCTGCACTGAGGATTGATCTGCTGATTGAATCAGTTTTTGTTTTGTTTGAACACTGATCACACACACACACACACACACACACTCAAACACACGTTGTCTCTGAACAACATGTGTACATAAATACGACAACTAGACGGACACATACATACACAGAGATGCATATCGGTCCAGCCTGCGAGAGTTGGGAGAGTTGATAAGTAAGGATCTTTATGATTATGCAGCTGTAATCAGTTAATTTCTATTCACATGTTGTTGACGATACTGAATGTCATGGCCTCCAGGAGAACCAGTGTTTTCCTTCATATTTGGTGTAGAAAGGCAAACTATCACAGAAGCAACTTATTTTTCTGAGCAAATCTACATGTCACTATTAAAGAAAGGCTGTTTCATGACTGTTTTTGTTAGCAAGTGCCAATATAAAGGGATTGATGCCTGATATTGATCTGTGCCTTTTCTGTTACCAGTTAAAACTGACAGTATTTGTGCCCCTTTGACCTTTTATTGTCGGATGAGTATTACCATTTGGATTTCTTTTTTAAAATACTGATAAGTTTAGTGCACATAAAAGTAGATAACAAATTCTACCTTATTGGAAATACAGTTTTCAAAAATATTTGTGATTTTCAAAACCAGTTTCATAAGAGTTAATAAATTCTGTTTAAAATATCACAAATTAACATGAAAATAATTGGCCCACTTTGAGGAGTGATTAGGTGCAAATGTGACTGCACATTAGTAATAATATTCAGCCAAGAACCTTTAGTGAGTACCTCTCACTTATTTCACATCAGTTGGGATTCAAAGTCATTGTGACAAGTATGCCTTTTTGTAACGGTATAACAAGACCCAAAAATGTCATTTTTATGTTTAAAATTATTTTCTTTTTTTACATTTATTTCCAGTTGTTTTGATGCTTTAGATGCTCACAAACATGCAAATCAAGGCCGGTTTCTCAGCTGTAGCTCGACAGGACTCATCTCCATCTTTGACTGTAAATAGGATCGTTTTCAGAATACGTGTCACATAAAGCTTTATTTTTATGAATGTGTCTACAAGTTTAAAGAGACTGCAGTTTTAATGTTATTTTTGTAAATATATTGTGGCAATATGTCCAGTTCAAAGAGACCTTGTATCAGATCAACATGTACTGTAAATGTGCAAGCATGAGAAACTACACTTCAGCAGTATGAATGTTCTGTTTTTACTTTTTTCTATTTTTCTGGCTGCAGAGAAATAAACGGACACTGAATGTACTTGAATACTGTGTTAACTTTTTATACTTGGTTTTCTGGATTCTGAATTTTAACTTGACTGAGAAGGTTTTTTTTTTTCTTAAAGTAAATAAGTTCTTACTGTTTTTATCAGTCACAACCACACAGCTCTTACAGATGATGTCATGAACCACATCATCAAATAACTGAGATTCATGGAAAAAAACAAAAGATTCATGGGATGGCTTAATGGAAACGTTTCATTGCAGAGGAAACAAACATATCTTCAAAATTCACATCTCCCCTTGTTACCTGAGAAGAACGCCATGATACCCCTACATTTTGACTCCTTATCAAACTCACATTTATATAAATGAAAATAATGACTAATTTACCTTCTTTTGTAGGAAACATAGAGGGCCAGTTTATATATTTCAAAATCAGACTCAGACTCGGACTGCAGACTTCATATTTTTCATCACCTTGAGATGTTGCCTGGGCAATAAACATTTGTGGACTGTTTTTTTTTTTTTCAACTTTATATTAAAATTTAATTAATCTAATTATTAATTGCAAAAAATATGACATATATATATACGATGAACAGTCTAAATTTAGATGGACATGTTAAGCCAAAATAACATTAATAATTTAGATGAACAGGAAAAAAAAGTGTGTGTTTGAGATGCTAAAAACAAACATTAATGAAACAATCTTTTCCTCTCTGATGGCCGTATACACAACAGACAAACCTCTTTAACACATGCAGCTGTTTTTGTGAAGGACTACTGGAACAGAATTGCATCACTTTCCTAATTTTTGCATTTATATTTCATGCTCACTGTCAGTGAAAAAACCCTTCAATGAAAAAAAACAGTGTAGTTGTATATTCAAAGATCTGCATTTTCTACTGATGTAAACAAATCATTAGTTTGATTTGCTGCTCATAACTTGATTCACAGACATGATTATAGTTGGTAGGAACACTGCACACTCTCCGAGCCCTTCCTTGACTGATGATTATTATACTGCATGGGATTTAAGATTTCTTATAACCGAATCCTTTTTTTATTTAACATTCCTCAGAGGAACATTGCAAACCGCAGAAGGCTGTACAGTCATCATTAGAGCCGTAAGCTGTTGAGCTTTCAGGCCTGGAGCTTTTTCTCTTCATGGCATGCTGCCCTCAGGATATTTTAGTGCAGGGATTGGCAGACATGTTCCAGAGAAAAGGCTGTTTTTTTATTTCAGCTGAACGCTGCAGCTGCCAGTGGTTGGTCTTCTTTATTTGTAGAAGATATTCTCTCTGAAATCAGTTGACTTTTCTCCTAGTTGCATTAGAAATAAAACACTTCAGACTCAAGTTGTCTGACGTTTTAAGCCCTGAAGGGCTGTTTGCATAGCAGCCACAAGGTGGTGTACATAGAACACGTTCAAGCCCACAACCAAAATCAGTTTCTACAGTTGATCTCATTTACACGTAATAAGTAAAGACTTCGCCCTCATTGAATATTTACATTCCAATAAGAGATGAAAGGTTTTAACGCACTGCTTTTTTGATGTCTTTCTAGGAAATTGCTAGAATTCAGCAGGAAGTTTATAATGCAGCAGAGGTTGTTTCTAAATGAGGCGAAGGTACCCATGATTGGGATCTGATGGACTTCCAAATGAGGCCTGAAACTGGACCAGACTTTACTCCAGACAATCTGCTTTGATCTCCCAATCTCCCCTGTGATACCCGGCACAGGGAAAGCCTCCCCTACACCTTGTAGCCCTAAAGCACTAGAGGCAGGAGGGCTTCACCATCCTCCCCCTCCTCCTCTTCTTCCTTTCCTCAATGCCCATCTCTTTCTCACACACACACACATTCAGCATACACACCCACACTGGACTCTCTTTTGAAAGTCTAGGGCTTGATTTAAAATTCCTCTTCAGAGCGTGTCATGCATTTTATATGCATGGCGAGTGGGAGAGAAAGGAGGGATTGCGTGGAGGCTCCAGCCCAAATGAACTTCCCCTGTGCTGTTGGTCTCCTCAGGGATATATATATCCACACACATACACACACACTCACACAAACACACACTTTCTTTAGCTCCCCTTCCCTCATTTTCTCGCACCCACTCAACTCTTTCAACATTAGTTTTACTGCATCATGCTTTTCACAAATTACAGCGAGCAGCCCGAGTGCCTCAGCCTTTGAAGACAAGTGTGATCAGAACAGAAGCAGGGGGGTGCAAAGAAAAAAAAAAAAAAAACCTGGCCGCAGGGCATTTTGGGTTTTTGGACTCATGTTTAGCAGCGTACGGAGCAGAAGAGGGAGGCTGACAAGTGCAGTGTTTGGGGACAGCTTTGATGTGTGATGGGGTGCGGCTGGCTTGCTGCTTCTTCCCAAGGAGACTGTCACTTTGACACGAGCAGACTCATATTTACTGTTCATGGCTGTGGATAGATATCAAATAATCAAATAAAAAAAGCAATGTTGATCCACTTCTCTCCGCTGTAGCATCTCTTATTCTCTTTCTGTCTTACTGACACACTCGGAGATACAAGCTGAGAATCGATAGAAAAGCAGACGAAACATGAACCCGGACTGCAGCTGCTTGAGAAATCTGGTTTATTAGGAACAATATGATCCCGCTAGCTTATTGTGGATATAGCAGTAAACAACAGAAACACAATTCACTTTTTTAAGTGCTACAGGATTGTGGTAATGGACATAAAAATAGTACAGCAACCATAGTGTCTACATTCATATGCACAGAGAATATAAAATTACAGTATATTGCTGTGAGATTGTTCCTGCCAATCCTTCCTTGTCAAACACACATCACTAAGATAATGAAGTCATTAACAGACATGCATCCCTACATTTGAAGTTCTTTATTTTTTCCTGCTCAAGAGTAGTTTCCAGTTGTTTTTCTCATAATCTTGATTTATTTTTCTTGTTATCTCAAAATGACACGGCTTGTTTTCTTGTGATAAGTTCATTTTATCACTTGAGATCTTGACTAATTGTTTTTTTTTGGGGGGGATAACAAAGCCAGTTTTCCTATTTTAGCTGATTAATTTATACTCTTATCACACAATAAAAAAGCCAGTTTCCCCGTTTTAGCTGATTAATTTATACTCTCATCACATGATAACAAAGCCTATTTTTTTTTTAAGACAGGAAACATTTCAGGTGATCTAGGTGACACAACAATAGGCTGATCACTGTGATAGGACAGACCAGGACATGCCATGCTGCCAATTGACCACAATAAAAAGGAACATTTTTAAAGGTTTATTTTGGGGCCTTTTGACTTTTTTTAAGATAGGACAGTGGACAGAGTAGAATATCAGGAGAGAAAGTGGGGCTTGACATGCTGGAGAAGGAGCCACAGGTCAGACTTAAACCCAGGCCATCCGCTTGGAGGGCTATTGCCTCCATATATGAGGCGTGACCTAACCGCTAGCCCACCAGTGCCCCAGTGATGAAAGTTAAGCTTAATTTTATATTTGTTTTGTGCTTTTGCAACTCTAGGGATACGAGATAATTGGGTCTCAAATCTCAAGCAAACAACCAGAATAACTTGTTACATAAGGAAAACTGAGAAAATACAATGTGTGGATGCAGGTCCGCTTAGAGCATCTGCACGAAGAACAGCACACCCTGTGGGCTGTTTCCATGACAATAGGTTGGTTTATGGTGATAACTGAGAAATGGTTTAAGTCTGGCAGGTTGACATTTTACAGATAAGCACTGAGTTATCATTGGAGCACGACGTTGACAGAAGTTAAGCTGATATAATACAATAACACTAGAAAAACCTTCACTGAATAGACTCAGTGAGGTGAAGCGACATGAATTCTTGTAAAGCTACTTTTTCCTTTTTTCCTTTTTAAAGTAAAGATTAATACAAGTTAACTTTGGTTTCCAGCTCTCTAGAACTATACTGTAAATCTGTGGCAGTTTAAGCTGTAAGTAAAAGTTAAAAATCGACAGTATAGCAGCCTTAAGCCAATATAAATACGACACATGTATTCACTTTTTAAACATTTTTCTTGTTATTATAGCAGCCAGGAAGAAAATGTAGTTACAGTGTGATTCCGTAGAGAAGAGGGAAAAAAGTGAGGAAATTTGATTTTTTTTTATCAAAGAAAAAAATCTGTTATCTGGTACCTCTCAATAAATAGAAAATGCAACGTTTTCACTGTTATTTGTTATCTTCTAGCCTATCTGTTATAAATATGTTTACACATAGTGGATATCTATGTGAGGACAATATCTTTCATACATGCAACAGAGAAGTTGAAGATTTTTAATGATAGACAGAAAGGAAACCACTTTTCCAACTTGCTAAGTACAACATAATATCTTGGAGCCTGTGAGCTTTACCAAAATTTCTATCTGACTGTAACACAAGACAAACATCGATGAAACAGGCTGACAGGAGCAATTCAATGACCAGATGCATCTGCAGAACTGAGAGGAGGGACATCTCAGGTTCCAGCACGTGGGACACTCTGGCTTTAGTCCTAAAAATGAAACCCTGCTGTCGTGGTATTCCTCTCAGTCATCTGTGGACAGGCAAGGTCTTCTCAGTCCACGTCAACACGCCTCTTTGTCAGAGTGGATTCTAGCATTACAGAGTCGCCGTGAAGCCTGGGGGAAACATTTTAACAACCCTCAGTTAGCCCAAACAATCTGACTATGAATGGACCAAGTTAAGATTTTATAAAGCTGCGACAAAAGGTAGAAAATAGAAACAGTTTTTAGAGTTACTTGGTGCTAATATGTGAAACATAATGTTGCTTTTAAAGGGAGATTTTTTGTCGTTCTAGTTGCTTCATCTCAAGGAATGCAAACTTTAGATCTGTTGCAGGAATCTAAATCCTCCTTAGGATGCAGATGCACCCTTTATTCTAATTCTACCTTTCTTCTTTGTGCTGTGCACAACATTCTTTTGCAATAACTTGACTTTTTTTATTCACAGCGACAGTCGTCTTCGTCTCTATCACTCCTGGGAAATTGTTCCTCTCTCTCTCTCCCAGTACTGACAACC